TGACCATCGCCTTTATATGACGGCCGGCTCATCATTGCCCCGTCATCATATTTCGGATTGGCTCTTTTCATCGCCATCCGCGTATCACGACCGGTCCCTCGGCCTCGGCGTGACTATCTATCTCAAGACCGGCTTCCTCAACGCCGAGAGTCTTGAGCTAGCGATCGGGCTCGCCATCCCTTCCTGGATGGTGACCATCGCCCTTATATGACGATTGGCTTCATTCTTGCCTCATCATCATATTATCGGATCGGCTCATCATCTCCGTCCGCACATCACGATCGGCCCCTCGGCCTCGGCGTGATTATCTATCCCCAAGACCGGTCTCAGTCATTCCTTCATCGGATGGAGACCGATGCTTAGACTTTTGGATCAGCCTCATAGTGCTGACGACCTCGCATCACGATCGGCCCCTCGGCCACGACGTCACACCCTATCCCAACACCGGCTTTATTAGCGCCGAGTGTGTTGGGCTAGCGATCAGGCTCGCCATCCCCTCCTGGATGGTGACTATCGCCTCTATATGACGATCGGCTCCATCTTCGCCTCGTCATCATATTTCGGACTGGCTCCTCATCATTTTCATCCGCACATCGCGATCAGCCTCTCGGCCGCGACATGATTATTTATCTCAAGACCGGCTCCCAGTGCCGAAGTCTTGTTATAGCGATTGGGCTCGCCATCCCCTCCTGGATGGTGACTATCGCCCCTATATGACGCATGGCTTATCATCGCCTCGTCCCCATATTCGGACCGGTTCGTCAGCGCTGTCGTCCTCATATTCGGACCGACTCATCAGCGTCGTCGTCCTCATATTCAGACAGGCGTCCACCGCCTCGTCCCCCTATTCAGATACAGCGAACATCTTGCGGTCTCCGGCCGAAAGGCTAAAGGAGCCCAGAGTTCAGCCATATATCGCTCTGTCATCTTTATTTGATGACGCGAAGCTCATTTGCAGGCCCATCGGCCATATATCGCTCTGTCATCTTTATTTAATGATGAAGAGCTCATTTGTAGGCCCATCGGCCATATATCGCTCTGTCATCTTTATTTGATGATGAAGAGCTCATTTGTAGGCCCGTCGGCCATATATCGCTCCGTCATCTTTATTTGATGACACGAAGCTCATTTGCAGGCCCATCGGCCATATATCGCTCTGTCATCTTTATTTGATGATGAAGAGCTCATTTGTAGGCCCATCGGCCATATATCGCTCTGTCATCTTTATTTGATGATGAAGAGCTCATTTGTAGGCCCATCGGCCATATATCGCTCTGTCATCTTTATTTAATGACGAAGAGCTCGTCTACAGGACCAACCCATATCAACGGCCCACTGGCAAATCAGACTCTACGGCCTACACACGCTCAACGGCTTTACAACTGCCAGCAAGCGCCCTCAACGTCCCATTTGCTCACCAATATCACAAATGCCAAACAATAAGAGGATGGCAACGGCCAGGTACGTAACGGCCACAGAACAAAGGGAACAAATAGCCCACAGCCTTCGGCTCCTCGTAATAACCCTTGATGATAACTCTCTACAAGCGATCTGCGCACAAGGGTTCTCCCACAGGGTTACCTTGGCCAGAAAATCGCCATGAGAGTTGGATTCAGGGGGACTACGGCGAGACCGCTTCGGCCAAGGACTCAGGCAACTCCTTCACCCCTCACTCTCTTCGGCCTGAAGCAGTGGGGGACTGGGGGACTACACCGGCCTCAACGAAACAAAGGTATAAACAAGGTAACCACAAAACATGGCCACATCATCCATACAGCACAACAGAACCTCATCGGCCAAAGGCCCATAACGTCACTAGCAACGGCCAACAGGCCACTAGAGGCAAGGACACTCATCGTCCTCCGCCAACAATTAATCTTGACGGGCTCTTCGGCCAAAAACACAAAGGAACAACCTCAACGGCCTCACCGGCCCAAACGTAAACTTCAAACACCAACGGCCAGGAAAGGGAAAGCGCGCCCTCAACGGCCACCATTGAAGGAAGGACACTCATCGTCCCAAAACACATTAAGGAAATGACGGCCTCCCCGCCCACAGCAAGGAACAGGTAACGGCCAAAGCACAGAATAGGATCACCAGAGAGGAAACAACGCCAACGCCACAACGGCTAACGGCCTGGAAATGCCCGCGTCGGCCAAAAGCAACAAAGCACAGAAATCTACTCTCCTTCACTTCGTCTACGTCTCAGCTTAGAGAGTGGGGGACTCCTGATGGAGTATATGGGTCTGAGCCCCAGGACCCACATACTCGGAAGAACAGAGCACAAGACAGAGTGGCGCCCTCGTCGGCCAAACGCCCTCGTCGGCCGAGAGGAAGCCAACCCGGATTATGATCCCGAGTCCAAGGAACCCGGGTGCCCCCGTCGGCCGTGCCCTCGTCGGCCGTGCCCTCATCGGCCACGAGGACCTCCCAGAATCGGATCCTACACTTACTCACTTGTACAGCCCATTAGTGGCTTTGTATTCGGCCCAGTAGCGGTCCAGTTGTAAATGGGCCTCCCAAGCCCAAGGCTTGGGAGCCCAACCCTAATTTTCTCTATAAATACTCCCCTTGGGAGTAGTTATAGGGGTTACGAAATCATTCTATTGAAGCATATTATTGCACTTCTCTCTCTAGCTCTCACTTCTCTCTAGATATACTCTATCAGAATTAATTAATACTCAAGGAAGAATATTAAAATATATGAATCCTACTATGATTAATATCAAGATGTTGACTAATTGTCATCTTAGTAACACTCCCCAATATTATCATAGAGGAAGAAATAGCTATTACTATAACCAATGTCAAGATGTTAACTAATTGTCATCTTAGTAACACTCCCCAACTTTGATATAGAGATAGTATTTTGAAAGAAAGAATTAATATTCAAGGAAGAAGATTAAAGAAAATAACTCACAACTTACAAATTCATTAAGCTTCAAAGTAGCAAAACCAAGATGGAAGAGTTTAGCTCCTCATTTGGAGACTAAACATGATGAAAAATATAAAGAAAGAGCTATTCTATACTGAGCTTAGATGTACAAAGGAATTGGATATCTTTTTGTGAAGGAAAGGAGGTGTATTTATAGGTTTTTGGGATGAGATTCGGGTACTCGATCGGGTATGTACATGGTACCCGATCGAGTATGTGTGTAACACTCGATCCGAGGCATACTCGACCGGTTTCAGGCTATTTTCCCAGAGTATACCCGATCGAGTATATATGAATACCCGGTCGAGTATGCTTAGAAAGTGGTATTCGGGCCATACTCGACCGATCTTCGTTTGCAATTCAAAGGCATACCCGATCGGGTATGTCGGTCTACCCGATCGGGTATAGACATAAAATCGTGGCCAAAATCTTCTCTGCATGTTCCCTTATCTTCGGATCTGATCCGATTTGAAGTTCCAACCTAATACCCGATCGAGTATAGCTAATACTCGACCGAGTATAGACCAAAATTCAGGATCTTCTTTTGTCTTTGAACTTTTGCACCTTCTCTTCACTTTTTGGGTTCACCAACTGTACTTTGAGTGACCAAAACCTGCTTAAGCTCAGAATATATCTAATCTAACCTATTTACAAGAATTTAACAATCTAATCTATTACACCAAAAGTGTGTAATTTCCAAAGTAAAAGTCAAGCAAAACTAATTAAAAACATAAACATAGATATGGAAATTACGAACGTATCAGTCGGGTATCTGTTCCATAAAGCCTTTCACTCACGCTACCCGGTCTGGTAGCCAGGCGGGTATCCTCCCCTGGTTCAGACTTCAACATACCTAGTCGGGTAAGCCATATATACCAGGCCGGGTATCACATCTAGAGAGTTGCCCGGGTAAATCCATCCTCATACCCGATCGGATAACCCAATGTCCCGGTCGGGTAACAGCTTTAGCATTCAGAACAAGGCTCCATCTTCAACAGATCACATACTTGATCGTATAATCGTATTCATTTTAAAAATGCTCTAATAAAATTCAATTATATTCACAAGTATATTTACATTAGGGGTGGGGTGAAGCTAGCGAGCTAGAAATACTGAAATTTAAGCGCGTACGTCCCACTTAATCACTTATTGTACATATTATTTCTATTTATAAAAAAAGTTCAGATATAAAAAACTTTCAGTACGATATGAGATATCGTACTGAACAAACAATTTCTTTACAATATATAATGGTAATTTCAATGTATGTTCCATTTATTTTTAGTCCACCAATTAATATTTATTCGATATATATTGTCCGAGTACAAAATGAAACACAAACATTATGTTACCATTTATTTTTAATTGTAAGAATTTGATTTTCACAAAGGAAGTATTGCTAAGACTCGGCTTTGACCATTAATATATTTAATTTTAGTACAAGTAAAAATTATAGAATACCATTAAGAATACCATGCATTAACAACAACGGAAACTACTATTGTTAAAAGTGGACCCATCACATCCTTGAAATGAGAAAAATGACCCACATAGCAATTATTAAAAGATAAATTCTACCATACTTTATTTTCGACTAATATTGTTCCATAACAAATTTGATGAGATTTGCCACGATTTATATCTTTTTTTTCATTTTATCATCTCATTGTCAATTACATAAATTCATTTTATTGATAATCATACTTTCCGTGCTAATGTTAGGGCGAGGATGGAGGTAATATTAATATAGGAACTAAGACGCGCATTTACAATTTATCTCAACATAATTGTGAAGGAGAAGGATTTTGTTCGAGGATTACTAGAAAAGTATACAAGTTTTAAAAAATACAAGTTTGATGCATATGCAAATTTAATACAAGTACATTTTCCCCCATCACATCATTGATGGGAAACGTGATGGGAAACACAAATTTATTAGAAGTACAAATGTAATACAAGTACCTTTTTCTCCAACACGTCTTAAGAACGCACCAACCAAAATCAATCTTGTACTACATTATATTCTCTTTCACTTCCCATAACGTATCATATCACGCATTATATATAATTAAATATGTTCTGTATATATAAACATACTATACACTAGATTCACAACAAAAGCCTTTAATTAACTACTTCCATGGGAGAGTTCAATATTGGGGTAGCTCTCCATAACTTGAATGAACATGGAATGAGGAGTTTCAGCAGCCCAGGGTTTGAAGAAATGAACAGCCCTGACCACCAAAGGGCTTCTCTTCAGAGCTTCTCCTTGATGGCTTTCAACAATGGAATTCAAATCCCAATTCGTGATCAGCCATCTCCCCACTTCTTCTCATTGGACGATGAATCAGCAGCAGCAGGAGGTACAAGTCATGGATGCGCCATCAATGTTGAGTCCATCCAAGAATCCGAGGTGGCTTTCATCACTAATAATCAACCCTATCCAATTAAGGTTAGTTTCTTAATTACGTTCTATCAGCTCGTAAATGTGGATTAGTGATGTCATCATAATAAACTTCACAAATAAAACTATCTTTGTTTTATTTTCAGAATATGATTCAATCACTCCAATATTGGATGCAGTCCTATCATTTACACTTTATGTATGTTTAAATCCTATATTGAGCAATTTCTAAAGAGCAAAACATACTAAAAGTTACTGAGTATAAAATAGGATTAATTATGCTTTTTCTCAAGCTATGACTTATTTAGTTATACGAAATGTAGAAATGGTCCTAAACACAATTAAAAATGTTTTTGAATTTCAAAATAAGATTGTCATATTTTAATTTACGAAATAGGAGTAATTACTGTCATGTTTTGAAATTACTAGACTTTAAGCATGACATTATCTTCAAGCTTGGCGAAAATTATTCCTATTTAGGGAACAATAACATGACGGTGTTATTTTCGAATTTCAAAAATTTTTTACTTCTATTTCGAGATTTTTCTCTAAGAGTATTCAAAACTACGAGTATTTTTTAAGAGCCTAATGTTGGTGCATTATATTATTTTCTTGGTTCTTGTTATAACTATTCTAGCTAGTATTATTGTGGTTGCTGTTAGTGCTCTTATTATTACGAAATAATTACATATATATGACTAAAATAAATGATTTACAAAAATGTGATTACTTACTAAAGTAGTAATGAAATCATAGTAATTTATGTTCAATTCTTAAACTTAAGTTACCACAAAACTACATTGTACTAACTATTAGTCATATTTGTTTAAATAAGTTTTTTTTAAACCCGGAAGGTAAACCACCAAAATCAGTGGGGCAAACACCGGGGAACGTTTGCGAGTATTTTATTGATAATCCAAAAGTACATGAGAGAGGGGGACCAAACCAATACCTCTCCAAGAGGCATTCCTCCGGTAAAATATAACCGGATGTTAAAGAAAATGAAGAAAAAGTAAAAGAATTTTTGGGGGGCTAAACGTGACCCAAAAAATACAACCAAAGCTTCAAACTTAAACTAGGAATACCAAAAAAAATCTGCATAATAGCTCTTCTTCACTTCAAAAGGCAATTGACAAACCCGGTCAAATCGGATTTGTTCTAAATGAAAAATGAGATATGTTCTGTATCACTTTTGTTATACTACGTATTGACTAATAATTCATTAGAATATTCTAATTTTCCATATTATTTACAATTCTTTCCAAACTAGGTACTTTTATTTGTTTGTGTGTAAATTGGGATAGTTGATATTGTTAAGATATGTATGAGGTTCCATCCTAAAAGATCAAACCTGATAGGAGGAGTAGATCATATCTTAATATAACACTTTATTGATTCAAACTTTTCCGTTGTGAGATTCTAACAAATATAATTTAAATCTACTAAACCTTACTCAAGTTTTCCAATTGAATTCCCTTACAAAGTAAGTATACATTTGTACGTAAGATTTCAGTAACGAATACGGAATTATTATACTCACATAATAAAGTTTGAGATATACCAAGTTTACTGTGAAATTATTTGACTTAATTATAATTGGATAACGAAATAGCAAAGTGAAATGATAAATTAATTTTATTTATGTACCAGAGTTATGGTCGTAGGAAGAGGAGGAGGAGCAATGAAAAGGGAGGTGATGGGAAGCCTAAAGAAGTTGTTCATGTAAGAGCAAAAAGAGGGCAAGCTACAGATAGCCATAGCTTGGCTGAAAGGGTAAGTTATTCCATACTCATTACTCGGTCTATTAAATAGTTTGAGATATTTTTTTGTAAAATATTTTTACACATAAAATCAAAGTTTTTTCCAAATTTGAAGTGAGTCGGGACCTAGCATGACCTTCTAAACTTAAATAGACCATACAAGTTTACTCGGAGTATCAAGTAAAAAAGTAAACACAACAAATTAAAGAATTACAAAGAATTTTGAAAAAATGTAATAAAATTATACTCTCTCCTTCCCTGAATTATCTTCTAAATTTCCTTTTCGTGTGTTCCAAATAATCTTTCATTTTCCTTTTTGACAAAGAAATTGGATTTCACAACATTTCTTACATATTCTTACACATTTCTCTCTCATCTGCACAGTTCTCCACCACACAATACTTACTATCTTAATTAATATCTATATCAAATGTACTTTGAAAGTTTATTTAGGGATGTAGGGAGTAGTTATTTAATTAAGGCCTTTTTATTCCAATAATACTAAAATGAATGAAAAAGACAAATTTGTGACCTATTTTAAATTTTTCCAAAAATGTGACTAAAAGTCATATTCCTTGTATTTAATCATTTTAATATTCATTTTATATATATTTGATAAGTAATCCAATGACCGCCCACCGCCGCCCACCACCGGCACCACCGCCACTGCCGGCGCCACCAAAGTGACTCCGGCCAAAGTGACTGTCCCACCGGCCACAATGACTGCCCCACCTGTTAGTCACTCCGCCCACAGTGACTTTCCACACACCAGTCATAGTGACTGCTCGCCACCCCAGTGACTCGACCACAATGACTCCGGCCGGTGACTCCCCAATCAGTGACTGTCGCCTCCCTCATTCAGTGACTGCGGCCCCAAGCCTGTGATTGCCGCCCCCGGGCCGGTGACTGCCACCCTGCCCTCAAATCAAACCAGTCATTGCACACCAGCCCCACCTTGTTATTGAACCACCACCACAGTGATGTTGCACCATCGTAGCGCCGCTGCCGACCACCACCGCAGACCACCGCCCTGGCCTCCAGCCACCTCCCCAACCCCGTCTCATCCCCCAGCCACCTCCTCAACCCCAACCACCTCCCCATCCCCCAAGACTCCTTCCCAGCCCCTGGCCGCGGCGGCGGCAGCCAAAGACCAACCTATCTTGCACCACTTCCCCAACCAACCAATACGAGAGCCCGCCACAGCGTTTCTAGCCCCGCCACGACCACACCAGCCCTATCACCGTCCCAACCTAACCTGATCGCCGGGTGAAAAGAAATGCGAAGAAGATGATGAGAGAAAATGTGGCGGCGGAGAGGAGAGATGACGGCGGTAGCAACAAGAAGAGCGGCGGCAGCGGAAAGAAGAGCGGGGCAGCGGCAAGAAGAGCGGCGGCGAAGAAGCTGTGGTGGCTCCAAGATCTAAGAAATTGATCAAGACTAGAGAGGCTAGGTTGGATGAAGTTGAAATTAGGGTTGAATGCAAAAGCTAAATTGGACCATACGGAGGTTCCAAGATATCATGTTCTACGGGAGCATCATTGGGTTAAGTTATATTTAGGGAAATTAAAATTAAAGTCATATTTTTGGAAATGTAAAGCTCCCTAGTAATATTAAGGTCATTCTTTCTTTAATTAATATCTATCTATTATTTATAGATCATTACATGTAATTGTTGCAATTTTTTACATATTTAGTTTCATATTTTATAAGGGGTTATTTTGACTATCCACTCTATTTTTTTAGTCATATTAAACTTTGTACCCCATTTCAAAAATCATAAAAGTGTGCATCCTGGTTAATACAAAAATCATTTGACTTTGCCTCTCAAGTTTGTTGCGATGCAAAATCCAATATAACCCCAAAGTGGAGTGTAAGGGTCAAATCCTGCTTTAATTAATACTTTATTTTGAAAAATTATTTAATAATTTTCGATTTTGTATACTATCTATATATCATTATTAATCCTTGATGGTACCATGGACTACGGCCATGACCCAAATATAGAATTATAATAAAATATCATAAACAAGATCAGCCCTAAACGAGATCAACCCTAAACGAGATCAGCCCTTAATGAGATTAGCCATAAACGAGATTAGTATTAATTAGCCGTTGGGCCTAACTAGGAACCTAACCCGCAAAAGGAACCTACAATCAGACCAGGCTGGACATCAGAGCTCGAGCCTGGGCGGAGTTCTAGCGAGACCGGACTCTTCCTAGGGCTTATGTGGCAACTATCATTCGTGCATAACTATCTGGCAGCAGACAGGAATAACAGAAGAAACGTGGACCTAAAGGAAACAATCATTGCACAACGGCCAAGACGTTACTGGACTCTTATGTAATTAATAGCATTAATGTATCGGTTTCCTACTAGAATACTAGTTTCTAAGGTCTATAAATACTTCCTGTACTCGTCCTACCAAAGGACCGGATTCCGGAATAATAATACTGCCTTACGCTGCCTACATTTCATCTGGTCTCGTAAATATAGCTCTCGTAGTATGATTAAACTCCATCAATCCTCTTACTTTTAATTTGTCACCTTCCCTCATTCTCTCACCTCATTATCCCAATTCTTTTTTCTTTTTCAATATGGTGGTCGGTTTGCATAATTGGTTTTCCTGTCCTTATGCTAAGTCTGTGATTATCTTATACGTAGTCTTCGTATATACTTCCTCCGTCCTCAAAAGATTGTCCTAGTTTGACTTCACATATATTAAGGAAATGAATTTACTGAGAGGTAAATTTTACTGTATAGTAGTGCACTGTTTGACATTGTTTTGACACTGTTTGACACTGGTCTGACACTGTTTGACACTGTTTTGCACTGTTTGATGTAGAATTAGTTACCAAATAAGGAAGGTATGACATTCATTTAGGGACTTCCATTTCGGGAAAGTATGACATTCTTTCGGTGACGGAGGGAGTATAGATATTACTGAGTATTGTTTAAAATTATATACAATAATTGTCAAGTTAAATTACCTTTTGATTGAATAAAAATTATATGTATATTTTATAATGATAGTTACTATTACTATAATGATATTGAAAAAGAAAATGTTGTCACATTATTTTAAATAGTTAACTGGAGCTGATATGATTTCTTTTGTAAAATAAACATAGCAGTTCTAGTTAACTACTTCTAGTTAACTAAGGATGTTTGTACTTGGACTGTAATTTGCTGGTCTGGTCTGGTTAAGTCTTGCCTGGTCTGATCTGAACTGGTTTGGTCTGGTCTGGTAAATATCTGGTCTCTGTGTATTTTATAACTACGGAAGTTTGGTCTGGTCAATCTGGTCTGGTCTGTTTAAGCCTGGTCTGGTTTTGGTTTGGTCTGGTTTGGTCTGGTAAGTAAAAACATCCTAATTCTAGAACTCATATGATAAAAAGAAGAGAAAATGCATTATAAATCAATTATTTTTTGATAGGTGACGCAAAAATGATTATGATGTATTTAATCGGATTGAAGTTTTCTATTCTAGTTTGATTTGTTTAAGTTTGACCCGGTCTATCGGAATTCGCTTGGTCTGGTCTATGTGTATTTTACTACTTTAATTTCGAAGTCAGGTCTAGTATGATCTGTTGAAACTTGGTCTGCTATAGTTTGCTCTGTTTAAGTCTAGTCTGATCTAGTTTAAGACTAAGATCAGTCCAAGTGTGTACCACTTGTGTATATACATATGTGTACATACATACATATGTGTATAACACTTGTGTATATAATTGTGTTGCTCGATTGCTTGATCAAAAGTGATTCACCTATAACAACGTACACTTTTAGAGTTTTATACCTATAACAACGTACACGTAAAAATATCTAGTTACACAAGCAAAGCCAACGCTTTGATTAGCACCAACAAAAGTATTTGCAACACTTTTTTGTTGATGTCGTAGGCAAGTATAAAGTGCGTTGAGAACGGAGAACCCATTTATCTATTAGTGAAATACGCACACGCACATTATGAGAACAATTATTTATCAATTCATCTAGCTTTGCAAGTATATTGTTGAAAAATGTTCAGTTTGTTGTATAGGGTATGATCTAAAGATGGTTGTATTTATACTAATTGTATTTTTGGTTTTGTAGCAAAGAAGAGAAAAAATAAATGAGAAGCTCAAATCTTTGCAAGGTTTGGTTCCTGGCTGTTATAAGGTAATTATCACTCTATTAAAGTTATTTACATCTTCGGTTCAACATTGAATCAGTATAAAATTTTCATATCCCGAATCTGTCTTTTTTTATGTAATTTATCCTGATATATGGTTGCAGACTATGGGAATGGCCGTAATGCTGGACGTAATAATCAACTACATAAGATCACTGCAGAATCAAATTGATGTGTGTTGTTAATTTTATTTTTTTCAATTCCTTGTGAATAAGATATGTTATTTTTAATACAAATATTTGGTTCAATTCATATATTTCAACCCCTTCTGTATAGTTTTTATTAGGTGTGTACTAATTTAGCTCTTATGTTTTTTTCTATAAATATTAGTTCCTTTCCATGAAACTCTCAGCAGCAAGTTTATTCTATGACTTCAACTCATCAGATATGGATGCAATGGACAGTATACATCAGGTGCAACTTCTTCCCCATTAATTTCATTTAAAGCTTAAACAATTACGTCATAATACATTAATACACTAAGTAGCAATGTTTTTATTAACGCTTAATCCAAATAAAGTTATGAGTAAATGATTATTGAAGATTTAAAGCAAGGCTTTGTAAAGTTTTATTAGCTTAACTTATTATATGTAACAAATTTGTTCTACATACTTACAATGACAAATGTGAAGGTATCTCTCATTTTTTGCTCCATTTATTATATCTAATGACAATCTTGAAATATTTTTAGATACATGTAAAATAATAATTAATCTCAGCCGTTCAAACTGTCAATTTGATCCACAATAACTCTCTTATCTAATCCACTCTTTGAATAAATCTTATCCGATGCACTTTTCCAAAATCTAAATGCGGTGATGTTTTCGTAAATATATCAAGTAAACTTATATGTACGTTCTCATAAACTTATAAAATTTAATCCAGTAACTTATGTACGTTCATATCCATTATTAGTCCTCAAGCATTACTTACTTGCATATTATTTCTTGTAATTAAAACTCTCCCCATCCCAAAAAGGCTTGTCAAATTGATTTTTCTCGATAAATGGTAAGAACTTTCGGCCAAGTTTGCTATCATTGACCAAAAAAGTCAATGTGACAAACTTTTTTGGAGTATATGTCGGAAGAAAGAATTTCTAATAGTATATATGTTCACCACTTTATCAAAGAAATATGTTACATCTGATGAAAACTTTCATGTCTGTAGTAGCTGTTTCTGTTTGCTTTTTAGATGAAAGTTTTCTAAACGTGGACAAACTTGTAAATTAGATGGCGCACATGATATTTAAATAAGCTACGCTGCACGATTAATAAAAACAGACGTAATTAACATGACTAAATCATCAAATCTCCCTTTATCGAAAAATCAAAACTAATAAATGAAGTTAAACGTAAAAAAATACACACATACAGTATATATAATACTGTTGTTGTGGCTGCAGGGAACAACTATGTATGAAAATCAAGAGATGGGAAAAGCTATTGTGGATGGGTATGGTGGATTTCCACCTCAGTTCCAAACGTCTTGGCCTCTTTAGTTGTACTTTCTGGTTGTTGATCAATTGAATTCAGATCCACTCCATACTTATATATCGACAGAGATATATATACTACATAAATATACTAATAATATATGAAAATAGCATAAAAATAAATAACCTCTTTATTTTTTTTTATTTTAATCATGAGCATCACATTATAACAATTGTATGGATTGGAAGAATATGGCGTATAAATTAACTGGCGGCTTCAGGCTTCAGCTATACTTGTTAGAGAAATGGTGCTAAATAGGAGCTTACCTTCCCGTATGTAATTAAATAAGACCTTGACTTTTTTAACTCCTAAATAAGACCAAATTTTTCCGTGTTTCCAAAATTGCCTCTGTTTTCCCGTCTGACCTTTTCCTAACGCACCACAGCTATCTCTCGGCAATAGCCTCGCCTAATCATCTCTCTCCTTCCTCCACAGCTAAGCAAGGCAGAGCACCGTCAAAATAATGGAGGTGCTGAGCTAAAATGGTGTTGCAGCGGTGCGATAGTATTTTTGGTGCGGCGGTGTGGAGGTGCAGCGGTGCGGCTGAAGGCCCTGCTGCGTAACCTGCGTTCTCTCTTCTCCTCTCCTTCTCCTCCTCCTCTTCTTATTCTTCCTCCCCCTCCTCTTCTTCTTCTTCCTTTTCTCTTTCTCTTCTACTTCTCTTCTTCTCTTTTAGATCTGGGACCGATTTTCCTATCAGGTGGATTCATTTCAAAATTGTGACATTGTTTTTAGTATTGATAAATGATATCAACATTGTCAAACTATTTGATAGTGCTCTGTACATACGAACAAACTGAAAGCAAAGAAATAAGGAATGTATTTTATTGTCATTGACATTCGTATGACATTCTTATGACATTGTCATTGACATTCTTATGACATTGTCATTGACATTGTTTTTTATTAACATTCTTATGACATTATCATTGACATTCTTATGACATTATCATTGACATTGTTTTTTATTGACATTGCTACAACATTGACATTGTTAAGACATTGACATTGTTAAGACATTCTGATGATTTTCACTTTATTTTGATAATATTTAAAGTATAGTGACATACAGTGTCATTATTTCACCATTTTAACATGTTTTGACGTCAATATTGACATTGAATTGCTACAATGTTACAATACTATAATATTATCAACAAACACAATGATACAATGTCACAATTATATTACACAATGTGGCAATATTGTCCTAGAATTGACTCATCGTAGATTAAAATTTCTGGGGTTATAAAATAATTATGAGAATGCTAAATTAAAGATAATATCAATTTTGTGTTAGAAAAGAAAAAATATTACTTCGTAAAAAAAACAAAAAGTAGCAGGAACAAAGCAACGAACATTCATCGCCGCACATACTCGACAAAGGGAGGAAACGGGGAAGAAGTAAAACAGGAAGAAGAAGAAGAAGAAGAAGAAGAGATCGGGGATGAAGAAGAGGAAGAAGACGATTCTCACCGCAGACGCCAACCGTCTCCCGGATTTAATGGCTGTCGGCGAAGTCAAAATTGCTCCGCAAAGTTAAAGCAGGGCTGTCCGCAAGGTTACTAAGGGCAATCTCGTCCCTTCGATTCAAAATGAGTCCTATTTAGGGTTTAAAAGGATTCAAGTCTTCTTTACCTTCCAAGCTCTTGTTTAAGTCCTATTTAGGTTTATTTCCCTACTTGTTAACAACCTTAATTAGGCAATTTTACAGAGTATCATTTAGATTAGAGCGCATATAATTTGATTGATTTAAGAGTTCTGAGTTTTGTATTGTGTTAATCACATGCATTTTAAATTCCATAAGGATACAATAATGATTAGTTTTCCCTTAAAGGATGTTTTTACTTGGACTCAAATTTGCTGGTCTAATCTGATCTCGTTTGGTCTGGTGTGTAAATGTTTGGTCTCTGTGTATTTTATAACTATCCAAGTCTGGTCTGGTCTGATCTCGTCTGAACTGGTCTGGTCTGGTCTAGGACTGAAAATAGTCCAAGTAAAAACATCATAAATATTACTGTAGTAAATTGAAGTCAATTTCCATTTTTTTTTAAACCCGGAGCAAACCACTCATGGTGGAGGAAGTGCCGGGAACACTTCCTAAATTTATTAAAAAAAGAGTAATTAAAGTTATAAGGGAAAGAAATACTGTACAGAAAGTAAAAGCATTAACAATTAAAATTTTTAGAAGGTATCCCAACCGAAGTTGAGATGGACTTATTGTACTTATTATGAAACTTAATCGCCTTTTGAAGATATGGTGGGTCAAACCTCACGTCCAATGGATAAAGGAAGTAGTCGGATGCATCTTGTGGTTTACGTGATTGACTTCTTGTGATCACGGGGTGTGAAGTCCAACACACTTCATAATATTGTTGTTGGTCTTCTTGGTGATTAGTTTGTATCATGAGAGAGCTCTTGTTTAAATTTCTTCTCCCCTTGACTAGCTAGCGTGAAACCATCTGGGCATTCCTCTTCCCTAGGTTGTTTATTTGCACCTGCATAAAGATGGAAAGTCCTTAGAAATAGTTTCATCATTGGACCTGTTTGGGGTCGAGTTAACTTTCAGGACAGTGTTTGGAGCTGTATCATGGGCCATGTTATCAGAAGAAGGTTCCTCATTGTCGGGATCCAAGGCTTGACTTAATGAGTCAAATCTGTTAATCATGCGGACCTCGTCTCCATTTTGAGCCTCATAAACCTCATGTGCAGCTGGGATAGTTTCGTGATAAGCATTATCATCACATGCAACAGTCTGACAAGTAATTTGATCATGGGCATTTAAAGTATTCTCATGGACAACAGTTTTGTATTCATCGGGAACCTTTCCACAAATAAGAAACCGGGACTTTCAATGAGAGTTGAACAGCATCATTGGCTACCGCCTTTTTACAGGCGTCCACCAAGGGTTCAACAGATAATTCATCATTTATAGGGGCTATTTTCCCATCACTGGCAGAGTTTCCAGTGATACTAACAACACTATTTTCAGCAAAGACAACATTAGGTGTGCCCATAACAGGAGCAGCACAGTCAGTACGGGCAACCAAAGTTGAATTATCCAAAGTGCAATATGAGGCATCAAGGGAATCAACCGGGGCATCAACATGTGCATCAACTACAATTTGGCTGATAGACTGAGCTTAAGGGCCATTACAATCAGTTTGGACATTTGCCTGAGCATCAACAAAGGCATCAAAAACTGTTCTAGTAATAGGGGCAGCAACATGTGCATCAGCAGGGGCGCAAAAAATAGTAGGGGCATGCGGACATGCGGTGCAGAAACCTCAGCTTGTCTTGACATCAATGGTTTAGAGGCCTTGCTAGTTTCAAGCCGGATGCAGTGAGGTTTGTTTTGGCCAAATCGTGAACATAAAGTGCAGAAAATAGGGAGATTTTCATACAACACAGACGGAAAAAAGCCATGGTCTCCATTACCTATCCAAATTTTAGAGGGGAGTGATTTTGAGACATCAATTTCAATGCAAAATTTGGCGGTAGAGGGTCAGAGAGAAATTTGCAGTTGGAGAATCAAGAATCAGGGGTCTTCCATGTTAAGACTTGGGATACATCCTAAGGTCAACCTGTTAGGAAAGGAAGGTCAACCTGTTAGGAAGAGGAGTCGTCCGAAGCTCCACTCGAATGCTTCTCAATTTTCCGGTGCGGAACATTTAACATTCCCAAAAGACTTGCTATGTGGAAAAGCGCCCTACCATCATGGAGGTGTATTGGCAACCCTTCGAGGGCCACCCAAACCGGAGCCAGAGGGGAGTCGCAAAGAGCAGAGAAGGATGGGGTCCATCTCGTCAGACTCATCTTAAATCCATAGAAATTCCAAGAGTTTTTAATCCAAAATCGTTGAAAATCAGAATGAGAATGAAAATTAAATAGAATCAGGTGCGATTAGAGAAATCCGACGGAATAGGGATGAGAGAACCCTAAAGTCGCCATAGCTTTCCGAATCGCAGGGAGAAGGGGTCGGCCATTAGGGAAGGTCCCAAAAAGAGCGTAACGAAAATTAGCCCATAGAACCTGAATATCGGAGGTAGAGAAGTTCACCGCTGGGAAACCTTTGAATCGGCCAGACTTGGCATCGATATTCTGCAAGTCTACGTCGGAGAAGGAAACAACTTGAGATTGTAGGCATCGGCCAGGGATTGGTTCCCTTACCGCCGCTGCGAAGGTGAGTCGTGAAGTGCCAGTGCTATCTCGAGCCCTTTAGCCGGTGGCATCTCGACCTGGAGTGCTCTAGTCAATTTCCAAAAATCCTACCACTTTTATATATAGACAAAAATGTGATTAACAAATTCGTATATTTGAGAAAACCAAAAATCCAAAATGTCACTACAAAATATTTATGTCATTGTGATTTTTCATGTCACAAGGAAATGTCACTATTAGATTTTCACGTCACTCACGGATGTCATTTTCGCTGGTAAACATGTGATTATGACCATTTCCACTCAGTGCAACCACCGTCGTTGACACCCACCGCCCTAACAGTGACCACACCAGCCCTACCCAACCCACCAGCCTGAACCCCTGCACAATTGTTGCCCAAAACCACACAACACCACATCCCTGCAACCGCCACATTGCACCACCATGTCACCACCACCCACTTCCACACCTCCTCCTGTAAGTCACCCTAGCCGCTGGTCCCCCACACACTAGCCATCAGCCCGCCATCAGTGCTCATCGCCCCTAGCCTCCATCACCGCCACATCCTTTAACCCTAGCCGCCGCCTTCCGCTGAGTGTAACCCTAGCTCCATCAAGGACGATGTATAAAACAACGGCGGCGCTCCAGGACGACTAAACCAGCAACGATAAACGGCCATCGAGGATAGATCTTCATCGCTGGTTGATGTTAGTTTTCTCGCAGTTAAAATGGATCATAGTATAGAGTGTAAGTACGAGTATCGTCTCCACAGGGACAGACAAAAAGGAATCAAGAATTAAATAAATTCAGCGATTAAAAAGAAATAAAATAAAAGCAATTGTACGAGATTTGATTGGTTTGGAAATTTAAATTGCAATTGAACGAATAAAATAAATGGGTTCTTTCTAATTAATGACATAAGAGAATAGGGATTGATTCCGGGTAATCAGATTTCTGGCTGATCAGGCTTAATCACATGAAATTAATTTAATTGAGCAACGCTAATCAATACTAAGTTCTATCCACTCTTGCGGTGTAGAGTTCAATAATTTAGAGAACCAGGTTGATCTCTCATGCGACAGATATCTAAAATTATTGCCAAAACGAGCAAGCGTACATTTTAAATACATTCATGCAATTAATCCATCACGAATTTAGCCATACATCGTAATTAACCCCTTCATCAACCCCAAATCCTTACTTAAGACTACTCACACCTCATAATTGAAGAATCAATAGAAATGGGATGAACAGAATTAATTGTCATTAATTAAAAATAAAGAACTTACAAATAATCCAAGGGAATTGAAGAACAAGATGGAAAAGTAGAAGAAATTTCATCCCTAGGCCTCTCTCTAAGCTCCTCTCCAAAATAAGGATTTACATGCTGTTTAAATAGGAAAAAATGGATAAAGTTTGAGCTGGTATAGGATTTTTGGGGTCAGGCACGACCGTGCCTAAGGGCCAGGCACGGGATCCAGAGAGTCACAACCCCTTTCTTCTATAGGCACGACCGTGCCTCAGGGCCAGACACGACTATGCCTTACCTTCTAAATTTGAAGATGCTTTCTTCAAGAAAGTTGTAGATAATGAAGTCCTCTATCCACCACAACTTGCAAAACTGGATTTGAATCTTCCAATCAAACGATATGAATAAAATGGTAGAAGGTCGCATTCTGAAATCGCAACAGCGATCATCCGACTTCTTCATCTGTTTTCACATTCCTTATCTCAGATTCAAGCAATGGTGTATTCATATGATTTGTGGCCCTTGAAGTTGGATTTCATATGGAACTTGAATCATGTTCTTTGGATATTTCTACAAAAAGATATGATTGAACGATTGACATAAGGTTATCCAGAACGCCATTTTCAAGCTCTATCCCTCTTCATTTGATCTTGTAGCCACTCCTGGAGCTCTTTTGTCGTCAAAACTTTGTCGTAAACCTGCCGGTGACCTCTAAAACTCTCGATTCGTTCTCAAATGCATCTCGAATCATCCCTATTGCTTCTCAAGCGCTGGTGCTGGGCTCAAATCCCTGATTTTGACTCCAAACAATACAAAACTCGAACCAACACCCGATAACTATGACTTGAGCTAAAATGAGACTTGTAAAACAAAATAATTAGGGAAACCATCAAAAGTCGATCTAAACATGCATCAAATGCGTTTCTAAATATGGACTTATCACTGGTCGATTTCAGTTGTACTGCTGGAGGAGAAGACGAGAGATGGTGGCAACGCAACGACGAAAGATGTCATGGGAAATGAGAAGAAGGATGAGAAAACCAGTGGTAACGCCGTTCATCATTCTTGATGGATGGATTTCTGCAAACACAAATCAATCCATTTGTACAAATTAAGCTAGGGCTTTGTTCGTTCTCTTTGAGAGGCTATAGTTCCATATATGTTCTTGGAGCTTCTCTATATGACTGACCAGGGTTTGGACCGTAAACGAAGGTAGACATATGGATTATTAGGGCCTGGGACATTTACTCACTTTTTTTATCCAAACGAAATTTGTTCATATTTTTGTCTAATGAAAGTGAGGAAGTAATTTTTGTGTCATTCTTTCTACAATGTGTTGAGATATGATGTAAATACCACGTTAACTCAATAAGTGTAATTAAACACTCTATAATTAATAATACATGAGGGTGTACAAAATAAGTTAGTCTGTCTATTCCCTGTGTATTCTCCCATATCATCTGTTAATTCTGTTATTTCACTATTTGCTCCAACAAACTGGTATCAGAGTGAGGAGAGACCTACGTACTCTGAACCTAAAGATCGACGATGGCGATGAACAATCTCACATCTCATCTCCCTATTCTCGATGGAAAGAATTGGCGTTAATAGTCTAACAGATGAAAGTGTTGTTTGGCTATCAAGATGCCTTTGAGATAGTGGAAGTAGGATTTGTGGGACTAAACAAGAAAGATTGTAAAGCAATGTATTTGATTCACCAGTGTGTTGATAACAAACTAAAAATATGTAGCAGTATAGAGTTAAAGTATGAGTATCATCTCCACATGGATGGAATAAGGGAATCAAGATTTAAATAAATTCAACGATTAAAACTAAATAAATAAAATGCGATGTGCAATATTGGATTTGTGAAAATATTAATTAATGCAAATAAAAAGCTAAATTAAAGGTTCTCTCAATTCTAATTAATGATAAAGGAAACATGGATTGATTTCAGGTAATCAAGGTTTGGGGCTGATCAGGCTTAATCACAGGATATTAAGTTCTTACCACTCTCGCGGCATAGAGTACAATAATTTAGGGAATCAGGCTGATCTCTCATGCGACAAGTTTCAAAATTATTGCCAAAACGAGCGAGTGTATGGCTCCCTAACTGTTACTAATCTCTTAGCGAATGATTAAGTGTGTGTGAAATTGTCCTTGAATAAATTAGATATCTCTTAATTTATTTTATGTGCAATTATAATCCTAGCGGCCGTTCTAGGTTACAAAATATAACAGTTAAATTATTCAAACACAAATTAAATAAAGATCATGCAATTAAACTATCAAAAAGTTAACCCTAGATCATAATTAACACCTTCATCAATCCTAAATTCCTAATTTAAACTACTCAAAATTTATAATTGAAGTAACAATAGAATTGATAAAGAAAGAATTAATTGTCATTAATTAAAAAGATTGATCTTACAAAGAATCCCAAAATCTTGACAATCCAAGACTGAAAAGCTATAAAAAAGACTACCATCAAAATTTTACAACGGTCCGCACGGCGTGCGGACCCGCACGGTCCGACCATGTCCATCGAACCTCCCTGCAGCTACGTTCTGAACCACGTGGCACACAGACTCGCACGCGGGGCGTGCGGTTCAGATTTTGATGAATCCAAGAAGATAAAAGTGAAGTTTGCAGATGATAGGCTGATACTTGCAGAATGTTCAAGAGATATTCTCATTAAGAAGAAGAATAGAGTTAAAGCAAACATTACATATGTACTATATGTTCCAAGAATGAGAAGCAATCTACTAAGTTGGGTAACTATTAAAAAAGAACTTTGTAATTCATACGCAACATGGTTTTCTACATATTTATGATCCAAATAGAAAAATAGTCTTCAAGGTTCCTATTTACAACAATAGGACCTTCCAAGTTCAGATCTCTATACCAAATAATCAATGTTTTGTAGCTGAGTCAGATGCTGATCATTCATGGTTGTGGTACCTCAAATTTGGACACCTAAATTTAAAGGACTTCAATAAGCTATGCACTCAACGTATGGTCCATAGCTTACCTTTTACAAAGAAACCCAATAAGATTTGTGACAGTTTCATGATTAGCAGGCATGCTAGAGGATCTTTTACTCATCTCATACCCTCTAGAGCAACTAAATCACTGCAAGTAAAATTCTTAGATGTGTGTGGCTCATTTTGAAACTGTATCATTATAGGGAGGAAATTAGTATTTTGTTTCTTTGTTGATTGATGAGCTTAGCATGAAGATGTGGATATACTTGAAGCTAAAAGTGAAGTGCATGACATTTTTAGGAATTTTAAGTGTATGGTTGGAAAAAATCTAGATGCTTAGCTTTATCAAAATTCTCAGAACTGGTAGTGGAGGAGATTTTTTAAAATGAACTGGACATGTTTTACATGGAAAATGGTATTATCCATGAGATCACTGCTCTTTTTACTCCATAGCATAATGGAATAACTGAAAGGAGAGATGATTGTCCTAAACGTTGTCAGATGCATGATCGAAGGCAACAAGCTTCCATAATATCTTTGGGGAGAAGCTGTATCTACTGCAGTCTATATACTAAACAAATCTCATACAAAGAGGCTAAACAATAAGGTCCCAGAAGAAGTTTGGTCTGGATCAAAACCTTCAGTTTCACACTTACGGATCTTTGGATGTTTATGCTACAAGCATATTCCAGATCAAACAAGAAACAAACTACATGGCAAAATTATAAGCCCGTGATATTTGTTCGATACAATGCCATTGGATCCTATAGGCTGTATAATCCAAAACAAAAGAGGATTGAATTGAGCATGGATGTAATCTTTAATGAGTTAAGC